TTTAAAATATTAAAATAATGCTAATGAAAATGTGCAATAAAAATTCTTGATGAAGATGGGTAAGACAACCAATAAAGAAAAGCATAAGGTAATATATAAAGAAAAACAAACAAACAAATCTATATCCTATAAATAAAAGAGAAATATGCAAATTAACCATCCCTCTGCTATGCTCAAGCCACACCCACAAGGCACACCCACAAGCCAATGAGGAGTGAGTATGCAAATTAACCTGACAAAGATGGCAGGTAATTTGCATGCACAGAGCAGAGTGGGAAAGCCAGCAGTTTGGGGTGACGTGGCTCCCTCGTTCGCTCCCATGGGGGGATGTCACTCCCTTGGTCGGGGGGGGGGAAAACCCAGAGTGTGAGGAGCACCAGGAATTCTGGGAATAGTAGTTTTTGTGGCAGCCCCAGGACCGGAAGCAGAAGCCCAGAGCACAGGGAGCACCAGGACTGCTGGGAATTGTAGTTTTGGTGGCAGATGGAGACACTAGAGCAAAGTGAGCCTGGAGCAAGTTACTGTTGCAGTTAGGATGGAGGGAAAGCAAAGGTGAGAGACATAAGTAAAATCAGAGTGTCTAGGAAAAATTAAAGGGAATATATCCTAAAACTTCCAGGAAATCTCTACCAATGGAGCAAAGAAAAGAAAAGCCTCTATTATTCTGAGCAACAAACCAAACTGGGTTAGGGGTCTCAGACAATTCGCTCATATGATTGCAAAGACAGACAGAAACTCTGGGATTGGAGAGGGCTCGCCTGAGGGCTCCCAGATTGGAGAGGGTGCAGGTCAGGCTAAGGAACCCCCCCACCCCCCTCCCCAGTGCATGAATCTTTGTGCACTGGGCCCCTAGCATATATATAAAAGTGTAAGCAACCAAACAACTGAACGACGGGTTGTGATGATGCGCACTGATCACCAGGAGGCAAACGCTCAACACAAGAGCTGCCCCCTGGTGGTCAGTGTGCTCCCACAGCGGGAGCGCTGCTCTGCTGACCGACCCATCCCAGTGGCCCACCAGCCCCGCAGCAGCCACTCACTCCCTCAGTAGTCCTACAGGTCCAATCTCTGGAGAACAGGCCAGGCACCGATGGACCAGTGCCGCTGGCATGATCCCGACAGCACTGCTGGCTTCCTGGAAGTCTGCCTCAGGCATCGTGGCCGCTTTCCCTCCATAGACGGTCCGCTCCACAATGCAGAAACAATATAAAAGCGGCCGGCTGCTAGGTAGCTCCCAACAACCAGCACAAATGTCAGTGGGATGGATCTGGATCCAGGGCTGGCAAGGGCATCCCACCACCCACCAGGAGGGTCAGTCATGTCCTGGCCAAACCCCACCCCCCTGGGGACCCCACCCATGCATAAATTCATGCACTGGGCCTCTAGTAAATAAATAAATATACATTACCTCAAATGTAAAAACCAAAAGGAAAATTCTTATAAAGGTCAATGATAAGACAAAAAACAAAAAGAAAGCACAAGCCCTAGCTGGTTTGGCTCAGTGAATAGAGTGTCAGCCTATGGACCAAAGGGTCCCAGGTTTGATTCTGGTCAAGGGTATGTACTTGGTTATAGGCTCCTCTTCAGCCCAGGTCCTGGTCAGGGCTCCTACAGGAGGCAACCAATTGATGTGCTTCTCTCACATTGATGTTTCTGTCTGCCCCTCTCTTCACTCTCTCTAAAAAAACAATAGAAAAATATCCTCGGGCAAGGATTAACAACAACAACAACAAAAGCACAAGATAAAACACTAAAAAGAAAATATGCCCAATGAAATATGATAAAACATAAGGCCCCCAATATAATAGAGGTAATATGCAAATTGCCCATCGGTGAAAGATGGCTCCACAAGATAGCTGGCAGGGGAGGGCAGTTATGAGCAACCAGGCTGCAGGGGAGTGCAGTTGAGGGTGACCAGTCCTGTAGGGGAGGGCAGTTGTGGGGACCAGGCCTGCAGGGGAGGGCAGTTGGGGGTGACTGGGCCAGCAGGGGAGGGAAGTTAGAGGTGACCAGGCCAGCAGGGGAGCTGTTAGGCATCGATCAGGCTGGCAGGGGAGTGGTTAGGGGGTGATCAGGCTGGCAGGCAGAAGCAGTTAGGGGCAAGCAGGCAAGTGGTTGGGAGCCAGCAATCCTGATAGTGAAAGGGATGCCCTGTGGGATTGGGCCTAAACTGACAGTCAGACATCCCCTGAGGAGTTCCAGATTGGAGAGGGTGCAGGCTGAGCTGAAGGACACCCCCAGTGCACGAATTTCATGCACCAGGGCTCTAGTCTATACTAATAAAGGGTAATATGCTAATTAGACTGGATTGACTGGACATCTTTCGGATGTCTGACTTCCTTCTGGACAAAGCCACAGTGGCAGGGGCTGAGGCAGAGGCAGTTAGGGGCAATCAGGCTGGCAGGAGAGCAAGAAGTTAGGGCGATCAGGCTGGTGTAAGGGAGCAAGCAGTTAGGGGAGAGATCAGGCCGGGACATGGGAGCAAGAAATTAGGGGGCAATAATCCCAGCAGGTAAGGCAGTTGGGGGCAATCAGGCTGGCAGGGGAGGGCAGTTGGGGGCAATCAGTTGGGCAGGGGAGGGCTGTTGGGGGTTATCAGGTAAGTAGGGGAGGGCAGTTGGGGGTGATCAGGCCATCAGGGGAGTGATTAGGGGGAGATTAGGCAGGCAGGCAGAGGCATTTAGGGGTGATCAGGCATGCAGGCAGGCAAGAGGTTAGGAGCCAGGGGTCCCAGATTGTGACAGGGATCAGGCCTAAACCGGCAGTCAGACATCCCCCAAGGAGTCCCAGATTGGAGAGGGTGCAGGCCAGGCTGAGGGACATCTCCCTCCCATGCACAAATTTTGTGCACCGGGCCTCTAGTAAAAATATAATTGACCACATGAAAAAAGCAAAATTAAAGTTTTTTATAACGATGACTAACAATAACTAAAGGAGAAAGCATCCATTAAAATATAAAGGAACACAATATATCTATTTCTTCTTGCACCAACTTTTGTATATTTTCCAGAAACATACCAATTTGATCTAGGCTGAGCATATATGGAAGTAGTACTGTCTTCTGTTGTTGTATTAACTTCCCCTGAATCTAATTTTGTTCCCTCCTCTTATATGCATTTTGTTTGTCTGCCACTTCTTTCTTTTTTCTTGTTCCACATTGCTAGAGGTCTGGCAATGTTATTCAGGTATTCAATATGTTATTATTATATGTTTTGTTCTTATTTATTTTTCTCTTTTAACCTTATTACTAAAGCAGTTGCTACATTTATTTTTATCTAGGTTTTTGTTTTTAGTTTCAAATCTGTCTCTTTAGTCAGGCAATCATATTTTAAAAATTATGGTGGCAAAAGGCTAATAAAACATCTCACAAAAATATTTTTAATAAGAGATATTTTATTTTTATTATAAATCAATAGAGTGGTGCCTTGGCTTACGAGTTTAATTCGTTCCGTGACGGAGCTCATAACTCAAATTACTCATATGTTAAATCAATTTTCACCATTAAAATGAATTGAATGCTGGGCTGATGTTGTGGCGTTCACTGTGACGTTCGCTGCGCCAACTAGCGGTGGGGTATCTGAAACTGGCTCGTAACCCGAATTTTAGCTTGCAACTCAAAGCAAAAAATTGGTCGAGAGACGCCTCGTATCTCAAAAAACTCGTTAGTCGGGACACTCCTAAGTCAAGGCCCCACTGTAAATTAGTTTAGTTTTGATTCATCCTGGAAGGTAAGATGGTGTTCACTCAGTGTGATAATCATTTACCATGTGCACTTATCAAGTTTTTTTTGTGAAAAAAGAAGACATTTGTGCAGATTGGTTCGCAATAAATCAGTTTGGTTGTGATTCATCCACAAAGATAATACATTGTTCATTCAGAAGTGACAATTAACAGTGACACTGATGGACAGCAATGGACAGTGACACTGATCACCTATTATTTTTTCTGAAACCACATGAGTGCAGATTAGTTCATGAAGATTCTTCTTCTTAAAGAATGAAGTGATATTTTTCTTAAGTTTATTAAATTGGGTTTCAGTAACAGCATCAATCTTTCTCTTTACAAACGTAAGAATAGTCTCAATTGCCAATTTGCGTAGTTGTTTTAAGACCGTCATTAACATATTGTCTCCATACGTTATTACTTTCTCGAGTAAAAATAGCATCATCTCCTCCATTACAAATGTACTAGGTATGTTATCTAGATGTTTCACGAGCGTAGCTTTAATAAACGAAATTATTGTACCTTTGGAAAACACGATGAATTCGTACTTCAGTCAGCTGTGACTTCAAACCTGGTGACACTTGTTCTGTGCCTGGGTCTTGAATTATGGAGATGACTGAAAAAAGACAGACAAATGCAATGAGCATAAAACCAATTAGATACTCACTTTCTCTGGACAGGAGTTGTACTGCTCACCGACCTGGTACAAAGAAGGACTGCCAGATTTCGGTGAGGTTGCTCAAAGATAAATGCAAGGGGCGGGGCTAAGTCTGAGCTGTTATGACGTGATTTCCCAGTAAGGGCTCTAGAAGCAAAGGGTTTAACATTGTGTAATCTCACAGACAAACCCTAATGACTATGGAGGGGAAATATCTGCTTGGTGAGGGAGTTACATAAGAAGGTAGATGTACTTCAATGAAGTTGAACACATAATAACATGTGGTTTTTGTAATTATAAAATATATAGATGTTAATTTTAGACAGTTGAGACTATGAACTATGATAATGATTTTTTTAAGATAAGGAGCTAGTTAGCTGGCATATGAGTGACCCACTGCAAAGTAAGTTATTCACTGTCTGTAGGAATTGGCCTGCCAATCATGTGAAAACATTTAAAATATAACTCAGAGCCAGACCATTACTTTGTTTAAAATTTTCAAATCAAATGTCCATATTATAACAAAAATTAAGTTTTTCTTAAAATTAACAGACAAAAATTATTACATTGAACATATATATCAAAATATAACTGTCCATCCATTGGACAATATTTTTTAAAATTCTTTATTGTTTAAAGTATTACATATGTCTCCTTTTACCCCATTGACCTCTCCCCAGCCATTTCTGCACCCCAGCACATGCCTTCACCCCCCACTACTGTCTGTGTCATGGTTATGGTTATATGTATGGATTCAAGTCCTTTGAAATCTTATCCACCCCCTCTCCCCACTCTCCCTTGCCTTCCTTCTGAGGTTTGAGGATCTATTCGATGCTTCCATGTCTCTGAATCTATTTTTGTTCATCAGTTTATGTTGTTCATTATATTCTACAAATGTGTGAGGTCATGTGATATTTCTCTTTCTCCGACTGGCTTATTTCATTTAGTATAATGATCTCCTGGTCCACCCATGCTGTTGTAAATGGTAAGAGTTCTTTCTTTTTTACAGCAGCATAGTATTCCATTGTGAAGTTGTACCACAGCTTTTTAATTCACTCATCTGCTGATGGGCACTTAGGCTGTTTCCAAATCTTAGCTATTATAAATTGTGCTGCTATGAACATAGGGGTGCATATATCCTTTCTGACTGGTGTTTCTGATTTCTTGGGATATATTCCTAGAAGTGGGATTACTAGGTCAAATGGGAGTTTCATTTTAAATTTTTTGAGGAAACTCCATATTGTTTTCCAAAGTGGCTGCACCAGTCTGCATTCCCACCAGCAGTGCAAGAGGGTTCCTTTTTCTCCGCATCCTCTCCATCACTTGTTGTTTGTTGATTTGTTGATGATAGTCATTTTGACAGGTGTGAGATGGCACCTCACTGTTGTTTTGATTTGCATCTCTTGTATGATTAGTGACTTTGAGCATGTTTTTATATGTCTCTTGACCTTCTGTATGTCCACTTTCAAAAAGTATCTATTTAGGTCCTTTGTTCATTTTTTTATTGGATTGTTTATCTTCCTTTTGTTAAATTGTATGAGTTCCCTATAAATTTTGGAGATTAAACCCTTATTGGATATGACATTGGCAAAAATGTTCTCCTATGCAGTGGGCTCTCTTGTTTTTTCTTGATTGTTTCTTTTGCTGTGAACAGCTTTTTATTTTAATGTAGTCCCATTTGTTTATTTTCTCTTTAGTTTCTATTGCCCTAGGAGCTGTATCGGTAAAGATATTGCTATGACATATAACAGACATTTTGCTGCCTATGAATACTCCTAAGATTTTTATGGGTTTTGAGTTTATTTTTGTGTATGGTGTAAGTTGGTGGTCTAGCTTCATATATTTTCTACCTGTATCTCTCCAATTTTCCCAACAACATTTATTGAAGAGACTATCTTGACTCCATTGTATGCTTTTGCCTCCTTTGTCAAATATTAATTGAGCATAATGGCTTGGGTTGATTTCAGGATTCTCTGTTCTGTTTCATTGGTCTATATGTCTGTTCTTGTGCCAGAACCAGACAGTTTTGAGAACAGTGGCTTTATAATATAGCTTGATAGCTGGTATTATGATCGCTACAACTTTGTTCTTCTTTTTCAGGATTGCTGCAGCTATTCAGGGTATATTTTTGTTCCATATGAATTTTTGGAGAGTTTGTTCTAGG